CTGCAGGCAGTAAGAAGTGTTGCTTCAGGCAATAAATTTTACTGGTAACCACTTGATAAGGAGAACACTGCATAATAATGTGACTAAACTTGACAAAATCGATAATTTTATTATTATAAACCCACATTTACTGCAGACTTGGAATCAGGGTTTGTAAAACATGTGGCTAGGATTACATGATGTGCATGCTGAAATTCAACATATGCAAATACTGGACATTTTCAAATGACTAAAGGTTTTGGTTTCAGTTACTTTAATTTCAAGGATGTAGTTGGTTACTTACTGATCTGTAAGATCGATGTGATATTTCTTTGGTGTTGAACTGGGCTTTCAACATGCTGGTGTGGAAATGGTTTCGCATCCCCTCTGTTGTGAGCTGTTCATTCTGTAGAGTGGTACATAAACTCGTAGTTAATTGACTTTCAATAATTTGTGCTGACTATCATTGCATACGGCAGTTGTGATTCACGCATTCCTATCATGAAAATGGATGCAGCTACTTGCCTTCAATTTATGGGTGGAAAGGTCCACCTTACAGAATAGGGGCCACTCTGCCACACCATCCTTGAGTCCAAAGTCCTCTGTTTGCCAGGCCTCCGTTGGGCTTACCCTGAATGCCCCGCGCCTGGCAAGATGGAGAAATCCAAGGCTTACGGGGCAATATGGGCTGCCCGGTTCCAGCCGTGTGAAGACAGACTTGTCTAGAAAAAGAAAGGTATTTGGTTGGTAAGGAATCCAATCAGGGATGTCTCTAAGATTTCAAGTTGCCGGGTAAATACAACAATAAGGAAGGGAATCAAACAAAAAAGGGTCCGTTTTGGTTCTATTTTTCTTGTGGAAGTCCTGCCAATTAGGACACATGGCATTTTTGGGTACATTTTCAGCGCTTTGATACTGTGCTAGTAAAGGGTATTTGTAGACCTTGCAACATGGCTGGAATTTACCCTCACATTTGCCTCTTACAGAGCCAAGAGTACAGTGGGACCTAGATGCAGACAAGGGAATAATTTATAGCATGATGGCCAGACACCCCACCTCTGTAGAATCTCCTTCTCAACTCCAGTGTTCTACCTAACTTTCCGCTCAGCAGGTAAGGGAACATTCATAGCCGGTAAGTAAAAAAGTATGTTTTAGAGGCTTACTTTCCTGGGGGCAGGGAGAGGGGGATAGAGGAGTGCGGAACATGGCCCTGCCCCTTCTAGGAGGAGCAAAGTTCTCTGAAACGTCAATCCCTCATTTTCAGACCTGTTTCATGCAAATTGGCCATAATTACCTTTACACAACAATATATTTAAAGCGATTGACTCCAATTATTTTGCTCTGTCCTTAATGGTCTCTGTCGAAAATGCGTGACCCATAAAATATAAAAGAGCTGTGTGTACCTTAGTACTTTTCCATATATTCATTCATTTTGTAGCATGTGAGAATGGGATCGGATCAAAACTTGTGCGTTTATAAAAACTCAACATCTCTAATTAAAGTTTTTGGTTGGTCGCCAAATGGTGACCTATTCCTTTTGGTTTAGGGAGACTTTTTCCAAATCAAGTTGCCAGCTTCAAAATTTTAGGCGCCATGGCGGCTAAATTGGTTGCGGGTTGAAAGTATACTCCTTGAATTTTTGTAAACCTTCAGGCCATTGCAGCCAGTAGGAAGTGTTGCTTCGAGCAGTAAATTTTACCCGTTACCGCCTGATAAGGAAAACATTGAACTCCCGAATAAATTTCGTCCAAGCCTTGGCACCTGATCGTAAAAAAATTGTGCAACAGTAATGGGTATTCTTACTTGTGCAGGCGATTTGCAGCATCTGGTTTCTCATGTGAAAAGCAGACATTCATTTGGACATTAAGTTGTTCGTCTGACCTGTGGACAACAGAAACTTTATTAAGTAGTCAAAAAACGCATTTCCCTTTTTGCAGTTTCACTGTTCCTTCCTTACACCTCATCTTATTACTCTTCAAAGTGTTTGTGCTTAATAAAATACAAGGGTCCTTAACAGCTATGGGATTAAACCCCTAGCTAGTTAGGATAAGAATTTCTTCTTTTATTTTCCTCCTTTGAATGTTATGGAAAGACTGGACAATGGTATGGAGAATGTGCAATCGTACGGATCAAATGTATTCTGTTTCAAACCAATCCATCATGGTTATTATTACTATTGTGTCAAATACCTACAAACGTTTGCCAAAGTGGTGTCATGAGAAACATGGAATTTATCATTTTGAATGACAGCCGGTCTACACATGACTTTGTTTGGGAACAAAAAACTAAAACGATAATATGTCATTAATTAGACTTACCTAAACTCCATATCCCCAACCTTTATTCCTTGAGCCCCTGGATAAGGGTTCAAGGCGAAGGTCGTCTCTGAGGCTGCCTATCTCATTGCTGACATAGAAAGCCACCATTGTGTTTGATCGTGCGCCACAGTGAGCTGACATGCTGTGCAATATCGCCATTACAAGAGTGAAAGTCAATATAGGAAAGACTGTAGCATTGGCATTTGCTACTATTTGAGCAACACAGTACTGTTTACATTAGTTGTGGGATAAAACTTTTTGCAACTATCTCTTGCCCCTGAAGCTCAAAGTCTATATAATGTGCACTTGTAATTTTAGTATATACCTAATCAATGAATAGCAGCACGTTTTGTCACTTGTTATTGCTTCTTGCATACTTTCACTATAATCTTTGTGGTGATGTTGAACAATGGTGTCTCATCACCTTTCCATCTAGAAAATGATTAACTGAACACAGTGGTTTCAGGTTTGCACGCCTAGTAATGCAGAAGTACTGTTGATTGTTTTACGGCTTTTGTGGATATTCAGTTTACATAGATTAGTCTAAACGTGGACAACACAAGAATTTGTCACTCATGATACTTTCTCTATTATTTTCTGGTCGTCGTCACAAGTCACTTCCACCAGAGAGAACTGAAAATTCATCGTCATGTGTTAACGTCCTCCCCAGAACCTTGAATTTGGTCATTTCACTTCGTCATTTAGGAGACAACGGCAAAGAAATGTACCACAATGTAAAACGCACGTGCAGAGCGTGCAAAGCCATTGTTTTTGCTCACTAAACCTATTGTTTTGTAGCGTCGTCCTTTCGTAAGCTCCCTAATGTCTACTTCATCGACTTCTTTTCTCAGATACTTAATTAGGCTCTTTCCCAGCTCTCAAGGGCTGGGATGTTCATTTAATAGGTGCTAAAAAGGTTGAAAATATTTGTTGATGATTTTGCTTATGACACTCAAATGTTCATCTTATCACTATTGTCTGATATGCTGGAAGTTAGACTAACAAATCACCAAGTTTACTTATTTACTCAATTCAATAACACAGATATTCAAAATAATACAGTTAAAATCGAAGAAAACAACATATGTATAAGTGATATCTGCATAATTAGGACAGTTTATACAGAACACGAGGATTCCTTATAAGAATAATTTGCCTAGAATAAACAATAAAATGAAAAAAACTATGTATAAGAAAATTCTAAACCTAGATTTGAATTCGTTGAAGCGTTTGGTATAATTATCATACAATTTGTTTATGAGCTTATTAGATAGAGTTATAAAATCTCGTATGCTAAAAACAGTAACAAGACCATAAAAATCTGTCTTTATTGGAATTAAATTTATCAATATGAAGTTCATTAACTTTCTTACTAAACAAAGGTAACAGTACTCATCAGTTATTGTTATGGCTCCAGGCAGGTCATTCCATAAAGCTACAATGCGATTAAAAAAATGAAAGTTGAAAAACATGTGTTCTAAAGCGACCCTTAAATAGTACTGCTTCTGAGTTTTTCATGCTATACTTAGAGGACTTGAAACTAACATACAACTGAGCGTCAAAGTCCATAAAGACATTAAAAAAAGAATAAATCTAAAACGTCCCTTCTAAACTCGAGAGGACCTAATTTGACTTAACGTTCAGGATATGTTATTGTAAAGTCACACTTCAAAATAAATTTGGTTGCACGCCCTTGAACGCGCCCTTTGGCCATGACTTTTCCTATAGTATAAGGTGACCAGACTTTTGAAGCGTGCTCTAATTGTGGACGCACCAACGATTTATAAAGAGTCAACAAAGTTATTTGATCACATTTACTCGTGCACGTTCTATAAAAAAGGCCAAGCATTTTATTTATTCTATTGATGAAAAGGTCAATATGATCATTCCATGATAGTGTTGAGGAAATGTGGCTACCAAGATCTTTCTCAGTTGTTACATCTGTAATTCGCGATCCATTCGTATTCTTGGCAAGGCTTGTTGTACATTTACCTTCTTTCATTTCCCCGATTCTGCACTCTGACCATAAACTGGTTTGCATTTTTGAAAGGCGTGTTGGAGAAAACAGTACACAGCATACAGGTTACATTTTTGGAAATAGTAGTGATATTGCTTCGCCTCCTCTATATTGGTTTTTGCGCATTTGCTTCACATAAGCCCAAAAAGTTCACACTGGGGGAGAAGGAGCACAACTTTTTATTGCAATATGGGAGCTTCCCTAGGATTCCTAACTTACGGTGATAAGGATTGGTGTTGCTATTTCCGGATCAATTGCAAATTTTTTAACTGAGGGTGGCAATTCT